TGAATTGCACAAAACGCATGATCGCACCGGCTAGCCTGGTGCGCGTTGCCATTTATTTTATTTTTGAGCGTATTAATGTTGAGCTCGGGTTTGGCGGCTAGTAGACTGGTCGTCCTGCCTGTCGGGCTGGTAACTAATCGGCTGCTTGGCTGGGTATCTCGGCTTGTAGGGTTGGATTATCGGCTTTTTGACTGGGTATCTCGACTTGTGGGGCTGGGTTATCGGCTCCTTGGCTGGATATCTCGGTTTGTAGGGCTGGGTTATCGACTCTTTAGCTGGATATCTCGGCTTGTAAGGCTGGGTTATCGGCTACTTGACGAAGGCTTAGGGGTAATAGGGTCCGCCACAACACGACGCTGCACAACACTGAATCGACACCCTTACTGACAACATAGACACAGCTATCTTATATAGATTGCTTCACGCCATTACACGACCTACCTAGTAGGGAGTCATGATGCAACATTAGTGCGTCCGTTTCTAATTGTAACGGAAGCAAAACACGCGACGTATTGGCTATAATGTTTGCTTTCGAATATCCGGTTCCCTAATAACAGCAAATTTCTCTTTTTCCGGAAGTATAAAATATCGTTTTTCATGAAAAAGGTAGTATTGTTCCAGCAGTTTCACTCATAATTAGTAAACTTCTTTGTAATACTTTTTTTTGTCTGTAAAATTTCACGTATGAAATATTGATTTTTTTAATGAAACTGGCATTTCTTTTTGATTTTTTGCAAAAGAATTGCTTTTGTTGAGCTTTTTATTGTATTTCCACCTTCCCTTTCCCCTCCCCTTCCTTCCCTTCGCCCCGGCATCCCTCACTTGCTCATCTTTCTTTGAAAATTTCTAGTTTCATCACTATGATGCTGCACTTTTTTATAGGTTGCACCAATAAAGTTCGTTTGACGGATGTGACAACGTTAACCTTGCACCAGGGCCAATACACCACTGGACGAAGATCGCCTTCAATTCCACAGATTCAGTGTGTTGGAGGTTCTGCTAGGGGGAAATTTGAACCACGGGTAAGTTAAGTTTCTCCATTGGTAATAGAAAGGTATGATAACAGTGGTTGAAATAAGAAAAATCGAAGAGAGAGGTGGAAAGTAAGGGTTACAAAATTAGTAAAGTTATTCTAACATGATTATTATAATGTAAGAAATTTTTCGATCCGTTAAGTCGTATACATTTCTTACCATTACCACAATTGGACCTCGTCAGTGCGACGATTGTGATAATTGTAATTGGTAGAAATTAAATTTGAGTTCAAATTTAAATTAGTTGAGTAACTCTTCTAGTTCTGGCGCTGTACTGGATGTAATCTCATTTTATAGCGCTTTTATAAATGAGTGCTTTTCAGGTTGTGCAATGTTACAATAGGGGTTTCGATGGTTTGGATGTTCAGTGGGAATGCAAAGCCGAGATGAGCGATGAGTATGAATTTGGCAAGGTAACTGGTATTCATTGTCAGATTTAGAGGGGATTTTAGGCATGCAGTCCTGTTCGGTTCATAGTTGAGCTTGCATTCTGTACGTTATTATTGAATCTCAGGGTTGTTATTGAATCGTAAAGTGAGATCTTCAACTGATTAGATTGCTACAGTATATCTGGTTGTCGCGATTATCAAGATCTCTTGTACAGTCCCTGTAGAGATTCGATGTTGTGTTATTTCCACACGCCTGATCTTGTACAGTCTCTGTAGAGGTTCGATGTTGCGTTATTTTCACACGCTGAACTAAGCCTTCAGGCTTGAGTTGCACGTGTTTCGTTCGAACTTATTACGTGAAAACTTGGTGTTTGTTCGCCATATCCACCATAGGCGGATCCAGGACAGCCTCCTGGAAAGGGGAGGGGGAAGAGGACGGATGGGGCTTCTATCAGCGGCGAGCGGGGAAGAGGGGGGAAGGGTGAGAGTCCTGAGGGAGGGGAAAGGGGAGGCCATGGGGGGTGTGAAAGAGAGTTTTCTTCAGTTTTAGGACTGTTACCTGTGCCGCTGGAGGGAAGCGAAAGCCTCTCCCCCCTCTCCCCCCTCTCCCCTCTAATCCCCGCTGTATCTGCCAGTGATACCCACAAGCTGTTCAGGTGGTAATTCACCTCTTCATCAATTTCATTCATCGGTACGTGACATTCATCAGTTGTCAGTAAGGCATGCAGTACATTCTCTCCCTTCGATTTTACTGTGTGGCGTAATTGCAGTGGCATTCAGCACGATATTCATCTCAAGAAAAATATGACTGCTTAAATAGCCATGAAGAGACACTCCAAGCATCCTTCGTTCCATTGCTTTGACTGTCACAAAAAAAATTCGCTCTTCTGCTTTCGTTATTGACTACGTTTTTCATCTGTACATTGGTGTCTTCAATACTGTGGTACTGAAGAACTAGAAATTGTTCAGACTTGAAAAAGTGGAAAATTCTATTAAACTTCTCTTCCTTCTCTACCTCATTTCTACTCCATTTGTTCGCTATCATCGGATCTCTTTTCCTTCTGTTTCTTTCTGCTGTTTCCCTCTCTTCTTCCTTCTCCTTTAAACAGCACGACCATCATACCGACGAGGCCCTGTTGCGCGGTGTTGAGTTAGGGCATATATGAGTTAATGGACCGAAGCGTCTTATCTCATTCCTATTTATTTATCTCATATTTTTATCTGCTGCGCTTCCATCATTTAGGCTTGCAGAGTCAACCTGGTTGCTGCAATCTGCTTATGCTAAACTGTTGCCCATCAAGATGAAGTTCCGATTGGACATTGCGATGCACATCCTTCCTGCCTTACGTAGTTGTAACTTTTAACTTCTTCCAAGTCAGCACCGTTCAGGAGCAGTGTGGTTGTGAGGGTTTCGGGGCCAAATCTTTTACATTTTTGGGGTCTGTGTATTTTTGGGATAAACTTAGAAAATAAGTGTATTCTGTGCATTTTGCATATCTGTTTGGTTCCCATGATGTCTGCAGAAACGGTGCTATTTTGTCACCAAATGTGCGATTGTTTCAGATCAGCATTTCCTGTGAAGGATACGACTACCCCGAAGACCCTTATGTATTAAGGGGTTCTTGTGGTGTAAGTTTCGGCACTTTCATGTTTCCTTTCTTCAAAATTTTCAGTTTGCTTGAGGCATGCATGTTTACGTGAAATGAAAAGAAGGCACGCAAAATCCTGTAAGGCCTATGCTAAAAAGATTAAGTCTTAGCCGTTTGAGCATAGATCCGTACAGTTTTTCGCATAAGTTGACTTATATTTCTTGCTTTTGCTTTTATAAATGAAATTTCTTGAATTTTCTGAAATTTTTCATGCCCCTTTATTTCTGTTTAATCTTGTTTAATTTATTTACAACTCTAGTTTTTAAGAATTTTCTAAGATTTTTTGTGAAAATATTGTTATTTTCCTGAAAATTGATTCCTCGGGCTTAAGAAGTGCTTGTAAAGCATAAGTACGTAATAATTTATCTGTCATGGATTCAGCTGATCTTTTTTCAATAAGCCAGCTAAATTCTATGAATTATTTTTTGGCGAGCTCAGCTTAGAGACGTTTTGTCACTAAAAAAAGTGCTTTTTCAGTTTCAGAAAGATTATTAGGCAGGAGAAGAGAGCAGTAAGGAGATAAGGGAGAGATCTGAGTCTGTGGTACTTGGAACAAAATAGCGATTAGCAAATTCAGCCTCCAGTCATACGTGGTTCTTACGTCCAGTTCCGTGAAATTTTTTAGCGGGAAAATGGCTAATTCGAGAACCAGCAAGGCTAGCAGCTTGAAATTCTTTGGATATGATGGGATTTTGGATTACAGGTACCATTGAATCGCTGAGTCTAAGCGGTGAACCGAAAAAGCAACATTGTAATGATTTTCGGATGAACTTTTGTTTAAAAAAATGTATATTTTAGCTGAAATACTATTTGGAATATGCGCATGCTGGAAGTAAGAACAAGAAAGTGCCCAGTGCACCTCCGTACGAAAAGCAAAACGAGTAAGTGTAGTAATTTTTATGCGTTTTTTGCAGCTATGCAATTCGGAAAACGCATATTGACGATAGGTTATGTGTGTGTCTGTGTGTGCGCTGCGCGTCTGTACCGGTTTTTTATCTCGTGACCCACAAAAGCTACGGGGCTGGAACTTGGGTAACTTACATGCGTGTGCTTGCCCCCATCCCCGAAATGGGCGCTGTCATGTGCGTGCTACCCACGTATGGGCCCGCCAAAATTTTTTTCGGGTAAGTTGTTAATTCGGGGACCTGAAAGGCAAGAAGGCTGGAATGTTAAGGGTATGTTCCCCGTCCATGTAAGTATTAATGAGTTCAAACCCAGCTCTCGGGTGTGCGTGGTGCCTACGTATGGGCCTGTGAAAGTTTTTCTCGGGTAAGTTCATAGCTCGAGAATCTGAAAGGCTAAAAGACTGTAGTTGTAAAAGGATGTTCGCCATCCGCGTAAGTCTCAACGAGCTCAAACCCAAGTATTGGGTATGCGTGGTACCCACGTACGCGCCCGTGAAAGTTTTTTTCGAGTAAATTGCTAACTCAGGAGGTCGGAAAGCTAGAAAGCTGAAATTTTAAAGGGGTGTTTCCTGACAGTTCTAGCAGCCAGGCTTAAATTTTTTAGAGAGAACATTTGCCGGGAAAATCGGTACTGGTAGCGATAAAAACTGCGGGGAACTATGCAGAAAGCGCATTTTCGCACGGACAGCCCGTGCGTTGGCTAATTATTTTCATTGAAATTTCTGCAGGAAGCTACAGGTAAAGCTGTAAGGGATTGTAAAAAATGTTAATAGATTAGTTTTGCGCCTGAAAGAGCTATTAATTTATAATATGATTTTCCATTCATATACTTAGAATAACATTCAAAACTACGAATTCTAATTGACTATCGCTGAAAATCTTCGTGGACGCAAAATTAGTAAATAAAGCGATTTGTTTTTCAGATTTCGTTTCTCTTCATTGTTCACTATCGCAATTGTGTTACTCTTTTTCTACATAGTTTACACAAGTTGTGTGTCACCAAACGATAGCGACCGGATACGTCGGAGTGGTTAGTTTTCTAGATTCATCTATTATTGCTATTCTTCAAAAACAACTCTCTGGAATTGCAGAATTCGGTTTTGCG